CCTTAACTCCAGCTGATAGCAGGATTGGTTTTTTTAATGGAAATTCTAGTCTCACAAAGAGGTGTGGTATGACTGAGGTTTTTATAAAGCTGCTTTTATAAATCTGTTGTAAGAAATGTGTGGAGCTGTCAGGCTAATCAGTGTTTGCCATGTCATTGTTGTTTAAAACCCTCAAAGCTTCTATTGATATGTGCATCCAAGACATTATGACTTATCTTGAGGAGAAGGTCATAAACCATATCTGCAATCAGCAAAACTTCCCACTTCAATTTTCCAAAATCTTACAAGATTTAAAAATGAACAAAAAGTTGCTGTTGAGTTTGCAAACTGAAATGATTATATACCTCCTGTGAGCTCCCAGTAATTTTATTTTACAATTGCATCTTTATCCTGCTAGAAATAGCATTCTACAATGAAACAACAGGAGATGAGAATGGATTAACTGTGCAGCATAGGAAAACAAAGAGAGTTGTAGAGACTAGGTCTCTTCCACTTGAAGTTAATACAAAATGCCAGTGGCTTTAGTTTATATGATTATATTGCTTTAACAGGTGCCATTTTTCTGGTGTAAAAGTAGAATTATGAGCAAAGCAGCAATATGATTTGTATTGTATGTATTATGTACTTTTACTTAAGATGTACCCCTGGAGTTTTAAACAATCTTTTATGACAAATACTGCACAGTCTGGAGCTGGCTAGGAACTGTCCCAGTCAGGGACAGGTCCCAGCAAGCTCTTGGCTGGGTGGGAAACTCTCCCCATGCAGGGAGCTCCCAGCCCCAGCTCCAGAATCACGGAACGTGGGCTGAGAGATTGCTCCCAGACCCACCTCCATGAACGCAGAGTGGGGGCAGGGAGATTGCTCCCTCCCCCTGTTCCATGATCATGGAGCTGGGGTTAGGAGCACTCTCCTTACTCCCGCTCTGCAATTGCAGGGCTGGGAGCAATCTTCTTGCTCCTGTTCCATGATCATGATCATGATCATGGAGCGGGGTCTGGGAGCTCCATGCTGCGAGGGCAGGGGGATATTCTCCCCACCTGGGCTCTGGTGCTCCCCAGCAGCAGGCAGCTCCCAAGGGAAGGGAGCAATCTCCTGCTCTCTGCTGCCTGCTGACCAGGAGCAAATTTGTTCCTGGTCAGCCATCTGCACATGCCTTACTGCATAGTAATTACTCGGCAGTTAATTTGCTACATGCATTTGCAGGTAGCAAATTAACTGTCGAATAGAGCACATTACTGCACATATAGATGGTGATGCTTACTACACAGTAATTTGCTCTATTGCACAGTAAAGCATGTAGTGTAGACATGCCCTGTATCTACCTGTCATCTCCTCTTATCTTATCTACTTGAGCCAGGGGCCACCGTACAATCCCCTATTTGTTTAGTGGCTAACACAGTGATATCCTGGTCCAGGACTAGACTTCTAGGCTCTATAGTAATAATGAATAAATGAAATAAAAGCTTCTGATAATCTCCCAGTGGGATCCTGCTCAAAGCAAGTATTGGAATGACTGTTCTGGGCATCATTTCACTTTCTAGTTTGCTTATATGTGCCCTGAGGGTGGTAGAATTGGCTCATGGATCAGGAGAACACATGTTTTATCCATATTGAGATATTCAGTGCTTCCTTGCCAGCAGCTCAGCATGGTGAGGTCTGTTCCATGTATGTTCCCTATGTACTGGGTCCCTGAGCCTGACCAAGGCAACTGGGAGTAAAGGAGAAGAATGGGAGCAGTTGTCACCTTCTGCTCCTGTATTGGGTTCCTAGGGCTTCATTGATTTGTCTTTGTTTTTTCTTCCCTTACTGCTATTCTTCATATCCATCAGTCTCCCTTCTGTCTGAATCATGGCAGCAGGGAAGAGCAAGGTGTGGCTGGGAAGAAACTGGGGAGAGCTGAGGGAAGAGGCGCCTGGATGCCTACCACAACTATGTCAGCAGTAACTTCAGGAAGATGTTAAAAGAGGGCCATGGGAACACAGCGCACCTTGGGGGCAGGGAAGAAATTATTATAGTACAGTGTTATATAGTATTATAGCAGGGGTGCACAAAGTGGGCCCTATTTGATTCAGATTCAGCCTGAATCAGGGACAGTGATTTGATTTATTAATTTGGATCACTGTCCCTGATTCGATTCAGCCAAATCCGAATCTGAAGATTTGATGCCCATTTGGAGAATCAGCGATTTGGACATAGAAACAGCTCTAGAAGTTTTTTCTACATACCTTGAGGTAGTAGGTGATTGCTGCGATGCTGGGGTGGATGGAGCATCCCGCAGGAGTGATGGGGGTGGGGCTCCATGTGCTCGGCAGCAAACCCGGAAGTGGACCAGAAGTACTTCCGGTCCACTTCTGGGTCTGCCGGGGAGCGTGGGAGAGTGCTGCCCCCCCCCCCCCCCCTTCCCAGTTTGGTGATCAGCTGCAGAGGGACCCCGGGTGCTCCCCTAACCCAGGAGGCACCAGTCACTGAGCCAGGGGGGTAAGGGGAGGTCCCTTGGCGCACTCCATGGCAGACCTGGAAGTGGGCCAGAAGGGCTTCTGATCCACTTCTGGGTCTGCTGCTGAGGATGCAGAGGCGCTCCCCATGCTTCTTTGAGATACTCCATGTGCCCCAGCATTGCAGCATTCATGAGCCCCTACTACCTAGAGGTATGTAGAAAAAACAGTTAAAGCTGTCTCTGTCTGAATCTCCGAATCTTTCTGAATCTCTCTGAATTGATTCTGAGGATTCCGATTCGATTTGGAGAAATTAAAAGGTCCTCTGATTTGGATTCGGAGATTCGGCCACTGAATTGGGCTGAATCTCCTCTGAATTGAATCAGGGACTGAAGCTTCACATAGGCCTATTATATAGTATATGATTATAGTACTTACAGTAAGGGGGAAATATAGAACTGTTACTGCAGTTAAAAGGAGGGCCTTAAAGGGTTAACCTCAGTGAGGGCAGAGAGAGATGTCCACTCAATACTAAAAGTGAATTCTTCTTTTCAAAGATTCTGGGAAAGGATGCTGGTTTGCTGGCCATTTCCAAACACCCCACGAAGGCAGGAGGCCACAGGCAGACACTGAGGCCCCTGTCACACATTACACTTAAGGCATGATTAAATAGTTAATAACATTTTTAGGTGTAACCCAGCCATGCACTCAATTAATGATGTGATAAGATGAGGAATAAGCCACAAAGTTATTCCATGAAAAATATGTAATAAGGGTCTTGTTACTTATTCATTTTAGGCAGCACTTAACTCCTAGTGTAGGGACAGACATTACACACAAACCAGTTTAAGTGATCAGAAACTAGTTTAAACATGGAACAGAATAGATGTTTAGTGCACATAAACCAGTTTGAAAATGGCTGAAACCAGTTTGAGATGAACCTGGTTGAATGTAGTATCAGACTTAACTGATTTGGCTCAAACCAATTTATGCAATGTCTGCCCCAGACCCCTTGCTGGTTTAAGATAAACCAGACACCCCCAGCATCCCCATGCTCTCTGGGCTGGGCAGGGCCATCTGTTTCACAGAAGGGCTGGCCCCTTCCCTCTGCTCCGTGGCCAGAACTCTGGCAGAGATGTACAGGCACAGCAGGGTCTGCCTGGCTTCCCCCTGCCCTATCCCCATCCCCCTCCCCCTCCCCTTCCCCCTCCCCATCCCCCTTGCTGCTTGCTGCTCAGGCAGGAGTGCCCCCTCCCTCCCTCCCTCTCATCTCCCACAGCAGGGACCCATGCCCCACAGACCCTAGGCATGTGCTATGTTAGCTAATGCCGAGAGGTGTCTCTGCATGTGTGTGTCTCCAGTTTCACTGGAATAGGCAGACAGAACTGTGACCACTTAGGGCTGTTTGGAGCTAATCAACAGGTCTGCTGGTAAGCTGTTTAAGAAGAGTTTGAAGTAATGGAGAGAGGCCATTGTTTTGCTGATGAGGTGATAAATACTATTATTAGCCCCCTGTTGTCTTGCTCCCCTGTCAGTTTGCTGCAAACAGCATAAAGAAGCAGGGAGGGAGATTGAAATTTACTACTTCTTTATTACTTTTCAATTTGTTTCCTTTTCTTTTCATTTTTTTACTTTTTATTTTATCCTTCAGTGGCTGAGTTGCTTCATTTCACACCCCCATCCCATTAACATTCTGCCTTCCAGCTTCATGTGTTTTTTCCCTGCAACCCATCTCTCATATTCCCCCACCCCCACCTAGAGCAGGTATAGAGGCTTGCCCTTGGTTATGAGGCTTGTAGTGGCAACTCACAGCTGTAGCTCCTAGTCAGGCCCCTGCTCACCAACCCTCTAGTAGCAAGTCACAGCTTTAAGGTGTAACTGCTCCAAACTGGAGCTAGCACTAACACTGATCAACATTTGATCAGCTCAGTGTGCAATGTGTAACAAGGCCCTAACATTGTGTCTGGCTCTTATCACACTATTAATTGAACATGTAGACATGTAAGCCCCTGTGTTTAGGGGCTCTGCCAGCTGACGGGGCTCCCAGCCATGGGCAAACCATGTGCTTGTGTTGCTGGGAGCTTCATCAGATCCCATCATGCCTTTACCTGCATGTCTGGAGGGGCCCTGAAAGGCAGAGGTATTTAGGACTGTTTTGGGTTAATGGTGATTTTATAGGCAAAGGTCAAGTAATTTTCATCAAACTATCTGATACCTACAATGCTAAACCAACGTTTACGGTTTTCCCTACCCTTCCACTCTCCGCTTCAGTAAGATCTGTTACCACTTGTTTTCTATCTAAAATCAGATTCTTGTAAACAGCAACAGGACTTTTTGTACCTGCCTCTAGAGCAACTGGTGTTGGACATTACTGGAGACAGGATATAGGGCTAGATGAATGCAGGTCTGATCCCATATTGCAGTTCCTATTTGCTAAAATAAAATTCCATTTCCCCTATGGTGGACCACCCACTACCAATGCATTAGACACTTTTTCATATGTAATTTTACTGCACTTGCATCCACCTCTTTTCCTGTCTTAGTTCATATTCTTCCTCACTTTAGGTAGATGACCTGAAGGCCAAACTTGCAACCCAAGAAGTGGAGCTGAAACAGAAGAATGAAGATGCTGACAAATTGATACAAGTGGTGGGAGTGGAAACAGAGAAAGTGAGCAAGGAGAAAGCCATCGCTGATGAGGAGGAGCAGAAGGTGGCACTGATAAACCAAGAGGTCAAACAGAAACAAAAAGATTGTGAGGAAGACCTGGCCAAGGCAGAACCAGCTCTTGCTGCTGCCCAGGCAGCTCTCAACACCCTTAATAAGGTATGGGAGAGACTCCAGAGGAATTCCAGTGTCTTACATTGCACAGGCACACTCAGTTCAATGTAGATTAGAGAAGATGAAGTAATGTAATGTCCCTCCTTTTGAGGTGACCTGTCATAGCCTACCAAGTGAGACATCTGGAGTAATCACATGAGGGGTGATAACACAGTGGGACCCAAGTTCCCAAGTACTTCATCCCTCTTCTCCTGAACTATGTGCTGCTTGCCTGGGTAAATCCAGGATCGCAGCAAGGGATGTGTAGCCACATTCTTTTCAACTTCAGGGTGCCTGCATGTTTGAGAGCTCACTGAGTATGCACCAGATCACCAAAGAGGGGGTGACAGTGCCCTCTTGCCATGATCCAAGATGCCAGTGAGCTCAGTGAGCTCAGTGCTCTGAGCTCACAAGCTGATCAATGCAGGGTCTGGCTGGAGCCAAGGGGGTGCATGTTGACACTTGACATCTTCTCTTCCCCTCTTTTCCCCTGCTACTGAATTCATCAGGGGAGCAAGAGGAGGAAAGGGAAGGGCAAACAGTAGCAGCTGCACTCAGCCCCTGGCTTCCAGAGCCCTGTGAAAGTATAGACTCCAGCTAGACCCTGTGCTGGCTGGATTGTGAGCTCAAAGATCACGGTATATATGGAGCTCCCAAAAGGAGCTGCACTGATGTGCTGGTGAGCTCAGGGAGCTCACTGCACCTACAGCACACAAACAAAGAGTGGTGTGACTATGGCACTGCACACCCCTAGATCCGCTCCTCGCTGTTCTGTGACTATTGACCATCTGATTGCATCCTCTGCCATCTAGTGTGACCTAGAGGAGCCTGAAAAGCTTCTCTAAATTCTGTTCTGCTTATGGACTGTGGGAAGCAGAGAATAGCTGGAGCTGTATGTTCTCTGTTAGCACCTTTTCTCTGCCATGGGCCTACTTAATTGTGCTTCTCTCTCTGCCATGAGGAGTGGGAGCTGACTGGAATATAAACACTCCACCAGGACTTTTCTACATGGGAAGGTTATTGTCCAGGGATCACCATTTCTCCCCCACAACCATTTATGCCCTAGGAGCAGTACAATATGAGCCAGCATAAGAAAAAACTGCCCTTGTTTTTGCATAAATGGAGTGGTGAGTTTAAATCTGGTAGAGGGTGTCAGGACTACATTTGAATGGACCAGGATTTGTAGAAGAAGGAGATAGGCCAGGCCATGGCCATTGTCTTCTTGCTTCAGAGCTTGCGAGCTCTTTCAGGAGTAAAGTCACAGAGAAGTGGGCAGAAGTGTGGTTGTCAGAAGCAGAGTAAAAACAATGCAGGTATCACTGTCAAATTCATTGCCTATTAGCAGTTTAGTGTGTCCTCAAGCAAAACACATACTTGCTGTCTTTGTTGGAAGTACCATATGGCACTTGCCTATACAATAACAGCAGAAATAAGCCTCTAACATTAAGCACTGTACAATTTGTTATTAGTGCACTGCCTAGGAACTTTGTAGGATTGAGCCTGCAGGTCTTCTTTATAGGAGTTGTGATGCAAATCAATAGCCATAATGGTAAGTGGGTGTGACAGCTGCTTAGCTATCACATCAGTAATTGAACTCAGGATATTGAGTGGAATGTGTAATATAGTCTTACCAGTGGGTCACTGGGGCACAGTATCCCAAAGTATTCTAGTCTTCCTTCCCCCTGCCCCCTACAGGCAAGCTATTTTTATAACCATTTTTGCTTTTCTTTGTGTTGCCTTTCTATATTATTCTTTTGTGTTTTATGCATCTTGAGGCAAGCTGCTGACAAGATCAGATCTGAACTAGCTGTAATGCCTGTGACATTTCATGTAACTGAAAGATATTATTAACTTTTCTTGTTTTGCTTCCAGATTATTTCTATGCAGGAGTATAAACACCAAAAATGCCAGTTAGATGCAATTTATAATTTAGGTTTTCTTCAGCTCACTTAAAATAGGATTGTCAATGATCTAGCTCATGGAGCACCTTCATCCAGCATCCAGTGCTGCTTCTGGGTCTGTTTTAACCCACATGCCACTGGACCAGCCCTGTGCATAGCACCTGGGATGTGCACTGCAGGCAGTGCCCTCTCTGGCTGGTCTTGGGTCTGTGCTACACTTGGTGGCTTCCCTGGCTAGTCTAGGACTGTGGCATGTAGTGCTCCCTGCTCCACCCAATCCAGGACTGTGCTATGTGCAATGCACATCCCAGGCTGATGGGGGTGGGAGAGGGTGCTATATACAGCACAGATCCTAGACTGCCTGGGGTGGGCACCGTGTGTAGAATGGATCCCAAACCAGCCAGAGCAGGTGTTCCAGAGCAGGTGCTGTAGGCACTGGATCTGGCATGGGATGGGGATGGAGACCAGAGGGGTCCATAGGCCCAGTCTGGCCCATGTAACAGCTCTGTGCCATTCATCCATCCCATTGGGCCAAATGAGTTTGATGCCTCTGACTTAAAACACAACATTATAGCCAGAGTTTCAAATATTTATCACAGGAAAATGTCAAGCTAATCTCCAAAAATAGTCTTAGCAGATGTAGTAATACATGGCTCTTAGGAATGACACAAGTATGATATTTAACATTGAGTTTAGAGCTTCTGAATTAACTCATGCTTAATCTCATAGACTACATAGTGTATTAACTGGGATAAAAGGGCTAATACATGAATCTACTTGAGGTCTGCCATTCCTAGTCAGCATGGTGAAGAATGTTTCCAGATAACTGGTCTATGGCTGAAATGGTTGAACATGCATATTATCACCCACTGCTTTCTGCATCAAACTAGTTGCAATGCCTGTATAATAAGGTACAGCCCAACATCACACAGATAGGTTTGTGTAAGTGAAGCCATGCATGGCCCTCTCTTGTCCTAGTTCAGCTTGCAATGTTAGGCATATGACTTTGATTGTTAAAGCTACTGGAATAATGGCTATATGTTTGATGTTTGTCACCATCCCATTGTTTACTCTTGTTACATCTTCTAACCTGCCCTGTTACTTCCTTGTCCATAATGTATGTAGTACACTGAAAAGTTTGCTGACACAGCTGTGTCATTGAAGAATGTGAATAAATCACCTTGCAACTGACTTAGCTATGCTGGTCAAAACCCTAGTCTAGATGTGTTTACATCACCAAAAGAGGCCATTCTCCAGTATAGCATATTGTGACTGGGGAACTGTTTTGAGTTGTAGGGGGAAAACCACTCTTAGACTCTTACACTTGTCTAGTAAGTGGATATTGAAATAGTTCTGCAGGTAGTGTTATACTGGCCAGAAGCCCTTAGAATGCAAGCTTCTCAGGGCAGGTACTCCCTGTCTGCTACTGTGTATGCAAATAGTGCCCAGCACATTGTGCTGTTAATTCTGTTCTTGCTTGTAATTTTCTTCGTTCTACCTGTGTCTGCAGAAGCAGAGTTAGCTTATTGCATTATATATAATTGAAACAAAACTTGCAAAATACATCCTTGTAGCACCCACACAATTCCTAACGTTGTCCAGACCTCTTGGGATGCTTCACCTTCTTCCAAAGCTGCTTTTGGTAATTAGATTTCCCCCCATAATTGACTGAGTGAAATGAGGTCTAAAGCTTGACTTGATGACTTTTTTTTGTTCTTTCATAATACAATGGCAGCACTGAGTAAAACAGTGGATATTGGGGAAAAGTCTCATGCACTAGAAAATATGGACCCCCTTTAATGAAAGCAAAGGTATCTCTCTGCCCACCTACATATATATTAAAAATGGTAGCATGACTGCCATTCTTGGGAGATTGTCTTCAGCCTGAACTCACTAAGGGAGGGTTTGTAAGAGGAAGCATGGGCCTGGGGAAGTGGAGAATAGTGTGTGGATGAAAATGGGAACCTGGGGAATAAGGAGCAAAAATATAGTTATGAGGAAGCTACATAGAGTAGAGGAATGGAGCAGTGCTGGTTAGAGAAGTGAGGACACTGACTGGAAGATAGGGAAAAATAAAGGAGCCAGAGAGTATGATGGGAAAGGGGACTTGGCAGGAGATCAGGGACTTAGCATTTATGTGGGGGTCAAAGCAGGGACTCGGAAGTGGTTGTTGGGGATTGGTGGTGATAGGGGAAGCAGGGACATAAAAATGGAAGAACTGGGGACTTGGAAGCAGGGTCTTTAGCAGGGGCAAGGGAAACAGAAAGAAGAAATTAAGGCCCTAATAAGCAGGGCGGGGGGGTTGGGGAGGGAGGAAGCAAGGTCCCACAGAGAGATAAGGGAGCTAGTAAGAGAAACCAGGGCACAGAAAGTGCATCTTCTCTGATCTCTGATTTCACTCTGGAAAGGGTAAAAGGGTAAGCTGCAATGAGGATGGGGTAATGGGATTAACATAGAGCTCAAGGCATAGGTACAGGCAGGGGCCAGGCATTTGACATAGGGACAAATAGGGATTATGTCGAGTCCCTGCCATAGGAGGGCAATTATTGGGGCAATGGTACAGAACAGGAGTGGAATGGGAGCATTCAGCCACACACCTGAATTAGTAAAGTTTGCAAAAAGTATCCTGAACAAGAGGAGTGGGAAGGTGACAGAATGGAGAGAGGAATTCTGAGAGCCCTTGGTGAATGTGATATATTCAGCATAGGGTGCATCTACACATACTGTTAATGTGATTGAATAAACTCGGGCACAGTTTTGGTAGAAAACTGGTAGAAAAAATAATAATTAAAAAAAAATGTTCAGCACATGGATGAACATGACTTGCTGGGAAGGAATCAATATGGAGTGAATAAACAGGGACAGCAAATAGGACAATCTGCAAGCAGTTCACTGGGAGCAAGAGGAGAAAGGGGAAGAGGAGCCAGGCACCAAATCTAGCTTCTGGAAGGGAAGTGAGTAAGGGATATCTGTGTGTTTGGCTTGATGAAAGTTTTTTTGGTTGGCTGTGTATTTGGGCATGTTTTCTGAGCATCTTGGAGTGCTGTTAGTCAAGCGATTGCACAGTTATTGCTGTCTGTATCTGACAAAAGCCCTAACAAGGGGACAGAGCCAATCCAGGCCCAGGAGGAGTGGCCAAGGAATAAGCGACCAGGGACAGCAAACAGGAGAGTTTGCAGGCAGTATACAGGTTAATTTACGCCCCTCCCTCCCCCTTATATTCAGTATAAGTAGCTAAAACTCAGCAGTTATATCAGTACTTAAGTCTCTTGTTTAACTAGAGACCCGAGTGAGTGGGGAGTTCATTAGAGAATTTGCCTGGAAATTCTCTCTCTCAACTTCTTTCACTGTAAGCTTGGTGAGAAGAAGCAGTGAAAAGGAAACCTTTCTGGACCAAGAAGCAGAGAACAGGCTAGCTTACAGGTGAGTATGCTAGGGAAGGTCTGTTTGGAGAGAGGGACAGGAAGAGGTAGGCAGCAGATTTAAAAGACCAAGAGAGAGGGCTGGAGGATATTGCGATGCCAGAACTACTGCCACCCCCACCCTTCCTCTCCTTGCACCTGTGAGGTTTCTGTCCAGGAAGGACCGCTCACCTTTGAGGCTTCCATCCAGGTCCTGGTTTGGGGCTGTGGGGACTGTGGCTTGCAGGTTCCTTCTAGTGACAGCCAGGTGGGGGAGTGCCCATGATGTGAGTGGTGCCTTCTGGTGGCATCCCTCAGGGAACAGGCAAGAGAATTACAGGAGGAGGTGGTGAGGCTGTGAAGCATCCTCAGCCATGAGTTCATTGATTCGATGCTGGAAGTGACCTCTAGGACTCTGGAGGAAGCAGTCAGAGATGGTGCAAGAGAAGGAAGAGGCATGGACTATCAAGAAGGTTGAAGCTGAAAGCTTGTGACCTCTGGCAGCAAACAAGTCTTCATTCCCACCTGCAGTAGTTCACCTGGAGAACAGAGACGGAACCCGAGTGACAAGGAAACAGGAGCACATTCCATCAGTGAAAGAGGTCAGTCCAGGCCTCCCCAAGATTGGGAGGACTGCAACTACTGCCACTAAGAGGAAGTCATGCAATGTGATGGTTGGTGACTCCTTTCTGCAGGGAATGGAGGCATTCATCTGTTGGCCTGAACTATTGTCTACTGCTTGCCCAGAACCTAGATCTGAGATGTCATGGAAGGATTACCAAGACTCACCTGGCCCTCTAATTATGGGATCCACCTGACAAAGAGGGAAGAGTATCTTTGCAGATGGGTTTGCTAACCTAGTGAGGAAGGCTTTAAACTAGGTTTGCCAGGGGATGGAGACAAAAGCCCTGAGGTAAGCAGAGAAGTGTGTGACCTGGAAGAAGCACAAGCAGGAGGGACAACAGGGGAGGTGCTCTTGTTCTTCCTGAGAAAGTAGAACTAGTTACCTCAGATGTCTGTACAAGAATGCATGGAGCCTGGGAAACAAGGAAGAATTGGAAGTCTTCACACAGTCATGGAACTATGGTTTGATTGGAATGATAGAGACTTGGTGGGATAGCTTGCATGACTGGAGTACTCTCGTGGTTGGTTATAAACTGTTTAGGAAGGGTAGGCAGGGGAGGAGAGGAGGAGGAATTGCTCTTTATGTAAAAGAGCTGTGTGATTGCTCAGAGCTCCAGTATGAAACTGGAAAAAGACCTCGTGAAAATCTCTGGGTTAAGGTCAGAGGGGAGAGCAACAAGAGTATCTGCATTGACCACCAGACCAGGAGGATGAGGTGGATGAGGCTTTCCTCAAATAGCTAGAGGAAGCTTTTAGAACACAGGCCCTAGTTAGCAGGGGGACTTCAGTCACCCTGAAATCTGCTGGGAGGTCAATAGAGCAATTCACAAGTAATCCAATAAGTTTTTGGAGAGTGTTGGGGAAAACTTCCTGGTGCAAAGGCTGGAGAGGCCAACTAGGGGCTGTGTTCTTGACCTGCTGCTCACAAACGGGAAAAAAATTGCTGGGGAATGTAGAAATGGATGGAAACTTGGGCAGCAGCAAAATAATGAACCTGGATTTCAGAAAAGCGGACTTGGTCTCACTCCGGGAACTGATGGGCAGGATCCCCTGGGAAGTCAGTCTGAGAGGGAAAGGAGTCCCAGAGATCTGGCTGTACTTTAAAAAACCTTAGTGAGGGTGCAGGAATGAATCATTCTGATGCGCAGGAAGACTAGCAAGTATGGCAGAAGATGTGCTTGGCTTACCAGGGTCAATGAACTAAAACACGAAAAAGAAGTTTACAAGAAGTGAAAACTTGGACAAAGACAAGGGAGGAGTGTAAGAGGCAGACTGGGATGAAATCAGGAAGGCCCAAGTGCAATTGGAGTTGCAACTAGCAAGAGATGTGAATTGTAACAAGAAGGGTTTGTACAAGTATGTCAGTAGCAAGAGGAAGATCAGCGAAAGTGTGGGTCCCTTACTGAATGGGTGAGGCAACCTAGTGACAGATGATGTGGAAAAAGCTGAAGTACTTAATGCTTTTTTCCCTTCAGTCTTCACAGGCAAGGTCAGTTCCCAGACTACTCCACCTGGTAGCACAGTCTGGGGAGAAGGCGAGCAGCCAACAGTGGCAAAAGAACAGCTTAGGGACTATTAAGAAAAGCTGGACATGTACAAATCCATGGGGTTGGATGCAGTGCACCCAAGGATGCTGAAGGAGTTGGCCGATGTGATTGCAGAGCCAGTGGCCTATTATCTTTGAAAACTCACCGTAATCGGGAGAAGTCCTGAATGATTGGAAAAGAGCATAAGAAGGGAAAGTTGGAGGATCTGGACCAGTTAGTCTCACCACTGTCTGTTGAAAAAACATATTGCAGATCCTCAAGAAATCCATTTCTAAGCCCGTGGGGGAGAAGAAGATGGTTAGGAACGGTTAGCATGTATTCACCAAGGGCAAGTCATGCCTGACCAACATTCTTGCAGGCAAGCTAAATAAATCTGTGTTGGATGAATGGTCTGTAAGGTGGATAGAAAATTGGCTGGATCACCAGGTTCAAAGGGTGCTGGTAATCAGTGACCCGATGTCTAGTTGGCAGCCAGTATCAAGTGGAATGCCCCAGGGTTTGGTCCTGGGGCTGGGTTTTTTAAATATCTTCATCAAACATCTGGAAGATGGGTAGAGTGCACCCTCAGAAAGTTTGCAGATGATGCCAATCTGAGCAGAGTAGCACATATGCTGGAGGGTAGAGCTAGGATTCAGAGAGACCTAGACATATTAGAGGATTAGAACAAAAGGAATCTCGTGAAGTTACTTCGCATATAATGAAATGTTGGTATAAAAAGGGTCATTGCATAAGAGCAAATAAACACATACAGAACCCACATAAAGTGAGGGAAACCTGTACAAACGTAGCCTTAGAGGCATCAAACATCTGGACTCAGTCTGGCCTTTGGATTCTGTCTCAGTGTCCTAAAGCAGGGATGGAAGATCTGGGCAGCCTCCATTCCTCCAAAACTCCTGCCTAGGCGTATGCATTGATGGTCTGGGTGACCTTTTATGCATGCACCATGATCTGGAAGGATCAACGGTTGCCAAACACATGATAGATTGTAACTTCACTCTCTACTGTGAATTTTCCTTTCTGATGGTTATGTGCACTGGATGCTGTATGCTGCAGCAAACACAAGTTTTTCTATCCACTATGTAGCTGATTTGGATGGGCATAAACCACTGGGGCTTAGTAACACAAGAAAAAGGGTCCCCAGTGTGGTAATCATGCTATGCTCTAGCATTTGATACTACAGAGTCTTGGGGATCTACTTTCCAGTAGAAATAGAAAGTTTTAGAAATCTCAGCATTTGTTTCTCTCCATAGTGTGAATAGCTAAGACTTGTTTAGCTGCAAGTATCAACACATCACTTTTCTCTAATATTCATATTAAGCCAGCATCTTTTTGCAATTTGAAAGCATTTGTATGAACATTTTTTTAATTTAATTTTACTAGAGTCAGCCACAGACATTCAAAATCCATATTCCCAAAATCATATGATTGACTTAAAATGTTAAGATATTTAAAAAATAATGTTGGACCATTTCTTTGTCTTGTCATTTTAAAGAATTTAGGTCATACCCACTTCACATTTCCGAGTGTTCTTTGAAGTCAGAAGACGTAGAAACTTAGAGTGAAATCTTTTTTCACTTTCACATGACAATGTGTCATTTATGTAGTCGTGTAAGTGTAACTTATGGTACATGTGCAGAGGTTAGATTCTTTTTGCACTTGTGCAGCTACATTTGATTTGTACTTCCCTTCTGAGTATGCTTACAAGGCCAAGTAGACTCTGGGGCAGAATAGAATCATCTAGGTATGTGTGTAATATTGTACAAGTACTGAAACTTTGGTTGCAGAAAAAGCACAGCTAGTGAGTGTTTGACAGTGGAAAATAGGGCTGTGTGAAACAGCACCATTTCATTTCGACTTCTGTTTCACCATTTTGAAGGGACAGTGTTTCATTTCATTTAGTTTTGAAGCACTGTTCCGTTTTGTTTCATTGAAACTGTTTTGCTGTTTTGACGTTTTGCACATAGGCTATAATGGGGAATCATGAAAATGCCTAATAATTTGTCATTTCTTGCCTGATTTGGATGAAAATTGCAGGGATGGTAGCCCCTTCTGAGGGCATGCAGCCTGCCACATTTCATAGGTGCAGAGGTTTCCGGGAAACTGCACCTCAAACTGTTCAAAGCAAAACTAGTAACACTTGCTGGCAGTGGCAGCCTTCTGTCATCCAGCATGCAGATTCAGGGGCGCGCACCCCCGAGAGGAATCTGGCACAGTCCCACAGCCCTCCTGCACACCGGGTGACAGGAGTGGTGCCCTGAGTTTCTGCGCAGGGCGGGGTGGTGCCCACTCTATTCAGTGTTGCTTCAAAGCTGCTCTCTAAGATTGATAAATCAGGAGCTTGACTCCACTATTAGCTCAGTAAAAGGAAAACTTGTTCATTTTACTCTAACAACCTTGTTTTTCCTTTTCAGAACAATCTGACAGAACTGAAATCATTTGGGTCACCACCTTCAGCTGTCAGCAATGTCACTGCTGCTGTAATGGTGCTCATGGCCCCAGGTGGAAGGGTTCCCAAAGACAGAAGCTGGAAAGCAGCTAAGATTACCATGGCCAAAGTAGATAGTTTCCTGGATGCCTTAGTCAACTTTAATAAGGAGAATATACATGAGAACTGTCTCAGAGCTCTTCAACCATACCTACAGGATCCCGAATTTAATCCTGAGCTTGTGACAACCAAGTCCTATGCTGCTGCTGGTCTCTGTTCTTGGGTTATAAATATTGTGAGATTCTATGAGGTGTACTGTGATGTGGAGCCTAAGCGACAGGCTCTGAACAAAGCCAATGCAGAACTAGCTGCTGCACAGGAGAAGCTGGCTAACATCAAAGCCAAAATTGCTGTAAGTTTAAAAAGATGTTAAAAGTGTGACATGCATGTTCATCAGCTGTAGCTGTAGCTTGCCTCCCAAAGGAGAAATGCTCAGTACTTAACAGTACAGAACCTTGTCTGTCCAGTACTTAACAGCACGTCTTTACAATTCTGTATATTTTTGAAAGAGGGTATTTTAGGACTTGGCAGATTTAAGTCTTTTTCCTACTTTCATTTTTTTTTCTGCACTCTATAATATTCTGTCTCTTTTCTGTTCTTGGCTATTCCTTGATACAAAGGTTCAGGATCCTATTCTCATTATTCCCTATTAAAATTTTTTTCTAGCATGAGTTTGGGATTTCCATATTAGCCATGCACTGTTAAAATTTAACACAAGCCAAAATATATTCTGCATATACTACATATGTATAATCAACAGAAAATGGATTCTAGAAAGTTTTAAAACATACTAGAATTGATTTTTTTCCTGTTCACCAAACACACATCCCATGTACTTGTGATATTTTGCAGAAAGCCAATTCCACTTTAACTGGACACAAATGATCTGTCAAATCAGGCGGCCCTACTGACATATCTGATACACCTTTCCCTATTTAAATTTGTGCAGGAACAGAAACATTAATGGGGGAAAAATGTTTTAATTAAAAGTAGGTTTCAGTGGAAAATAGCCACCCACTTCCAAATATATTTTCATTAAAAAAGCCATACCTAACATCCCACTAACTGAAAAGTCTGGAAATAAACAGAGAAGTTAAGTTACATCCAGCTAATTTCCTATTGCCACATAATCTCAGTTGTTCTCACCTCACTCAATCTAAACCAACCTACATATTCATTTTGCCCCCTAAAATCTGCCAATTTCAGAATATTCTTGGGCAATCACAAAATGCAATTCTTATTCAAAGGACCTTTCTCCAATCTTATCTAATATTGCAATTAATAAGAAAACAAAACAAATTGTTCATGTGCTGGCTGCAAACTTTCAAGGCGCATCAAGCCATGCTATACCACAACAGACACGCTTCATAAAACCAGACAGGGGAGTGCAGTTATTCCGCTGAATTAATAAAAATACTCTATTCTACCAAATCATCAAACTGTTGGAAAATACATAATACTCTTAACATAACCATGCATCTTAAAATATTGCTATACACATTTATTTACAAATGTATAAAATCTACAAATATATTCAGTCACCCATTTCTATTTACAAAGAAGCACCTATAAGGCTGGATAGTGATAGGGATTGCTTTGGAGGCATTTATCTTTCAATACTCTTATCTTAAAAGTAATATATAAGAGTGGATAAATGTTGGGATCTCTTAAGCATTCTTATTTCCAGAACTTCTAATATTGGCGTTAGTTTTTAAAGAGGTAAGATACTTGTAAAGAAAGTGGAAATCTTTCAAAACATTGCCTGTATTTCACTGAAACACAATTTCAATAATAACTTCTTAAAATTATTATTTGTGTACATATAATGCTATACTATTAAATTTGTACTGTACTAATACATGTACAAATATTGTATGTGTGTATTAAGTAATATTTATTATCAGATTTTTAACCAGCATAAACTGGTATACTCTATTGACTTCTGTGGTACTATACTGCTTTATACTTGCTGGGACTCTGATCCTAAAATTGTAATATACAGCCAATATTTTTAACTGTAGGTGCCCAATGCTATATATTAAACACTTGTTTATCGTATTTGCTTCAATGACAGATTGGGCTGTAAAGAATTTCTGGAAATTACACAAATACATGTACACATGTTTGCAAGGGGCAGCATCCTATTTGTCATTGTACACCTAAATGACTGTTTTCTAGCTGCATAGGTGGGCAGGGAGGGGTTTGCCACTTTTTATATAGGTTGCAATTCTATCCCCCTGCAGTGCAGATGTGTAAGCATGCACATAGACTGAGCTGGTACATAGGCGCACACACATTGGTTGAGCATGTATGCAGCTCTGTTAGTACTTACTAGAGCATATAGCACAGAAAAGCAAAGCTGCTTCCTTACATGTTTTAGTCCACAGAACTGCTTGGTTAGGACATTTGCCCAGGAACCCCTTCACCTAGGTTCCAGGCACCCCCTCACCTAGAGAAGGTTTGATCTGCACCCCTCTAGTGATCTACCACAACACTTGTATCAACAGACCACAGGTTAGGTTTTAGCCAGTCCTTATTCAACACTCCTTTCAAAGCTGTTCCACTTTACCTTGCATTTAACAGTTGTTGGACAAAGTGGATGGATGGTAGTTCGGTGCAGAAGTTTCAGCCCATTAGCAGCAAGAAAGCACACTCATCTCTCTTTGTCACTCTCCAACTTTGGCCTTTTCCTCCTGGCCAGAAATATCTCCTGTTTTTGGCTGCCCAAGAGGCCAGCTTTTAAAGGAGGGATGGAGAAAGTTCTGGATTATGCCTAACCTGTTCCATGGTTAGAGCTTGTTGCTGGGGAGTCAAAGAGATGCAAGTTCAAGTGCCCTTCAAGTGAGGAGGGGCCTGGAACTCTAGTACCCAGCTTCTAGAGGAAATGTTCCAGCCATTCAGCTTCTAGGGCTAAAACATGAGATGATCCTGTTCTTCCCTTTCCTGGGAATTACCCTGGTATTCCCTTATGTCAAGCTCATCTCCTTCAACCAGAATGATTTCTTGGGGCTATGAGCTGGAGAAATATATAAGAAATACCTTGAGGACTTGTCCACTAACATGGCAATAGTGCTAGGAAATTGTTTATTAATTAATCCTCAACCATAATCCAAGACCTGAGCCATCATTGTTAATCCACCTGTCACCCCCTTTTTTCTGTTCAAAATCAAGCCATGGCAGTGCCTGGGATAAATAGCCTTTGCAGTATTCTGACATTAGCACCTTACACATTATATGGCATACCATGCACATCTGTGGTCTGTATCATGCTCTCCCTTCCATTCTGTCTCATTTTATACCAGATAGTTTTTCAAGGGTATCATCCAGTGTCCATGCAAGTCAGTCAGAGGACAGTGACCTAAACAGGCATTGGATTGCATCCTAGTTGACATGCAAGGTGCTGAGATTTCGCAAGCTGAGACCTTAATGTAAGTGGTCTTTCTGCACGGCTGAAGATCTTCCCTGCCATTCTACAAGATAATCAGAATAGCAGTAAATCAGATTAGGATTTGACATGCAGAGAAAAAAAAAGTTGTTAACTATTATATTTTTTAAAAGTTTTGCTTAATGTTGTTGTTATTTTTCATAAACAGCACCTTAATGAAAACCTGGCAAAACTCACAGCCAAATTTGAGAAGGCTACATCAGACAAACTAAAATGCCAGGAAGAAGCTGAAGCTACTGCATGTACCATCTCTCTTGCAAATCGACTAGTGAGTATCAACAGGTAGAATTTGAATTATATAAATGAAAGTTGTCAGGTACCATCAGGATGCAGACTATGTGAACGCAGGGCATTTTATTTTCTAAATGTTTAGACTACATTATATTTTCTGCATTGCAACAATTTTACAGTACTTCCATATGAAAACTGCATCTCTTATCCTAATCCTTCATGTATACCTGGTCGTGTTCTGTGCATATTCATACATAATATACCTTATATACACAACTATAGATGCCCAACTCTGATACCTTTCATTATTACTTTTCTGATCAGTCAAACTATGTCCTAAAGACAAGACCTTACTAACACCAGAGATTATTAGATAATGGATAGATTAATGGCTACATGTTATAATAAATAATGAATTAAAGCATTTTTGCACTTCTTTCAATATCTGAAATTACTAAAACATAATTATAAATATATAAAGAACAGCGCTAAAGTGCTGAGAGTATTAGATGGACCCATTATTCTAGTATGAATCCTTCATGATTAATATTATCTGTGAGATTTAATTTTAAATATCCCCTATGTAAAAATACAGTCATCCCTGTTTTGCAGGTAGGTGGAGATCCAGATTTCTGAATAGAAAGAGATACAGATTTTTAAATATAATTAGGCATCTCCTTCCATAAATTGCCAAGAGGACTGAAGTTCCTATATATCTGTAATATTTCTGGTGCAGAACAGTTAAGATTTTTAACAATATATTTCAAGAATTCCCAAATGTATATAATATTACAAATGAGATCAGTAACTCCAACTCACTTGTTCCTGGGTGCCTCCTACTCTACCCGTCTTCTTTGGAAAAGACAGTATAGACTAAGAGGCCTTGCAGTCTGCCCAGAAGTTCAATAAATCTGAGTGCATCTAACCAACTGAAGGAGCAGCTTCAGTTGGAGGCCTTCCTAAGAGATTTTTTTGCATCCAGATGATGGACATATAGGGAGTGTCATCTTTAGCTTCTTGGTCAATAATTGGTGCCTCTTTCCATACAATCTCTGATTCTGGCACAATATTCTGGGAATATAAACATCCAGATCTCAATCCTACTTTGTTACTTAAATGCAACTCATATTGACTTCAAAGGAGTTCCAACCATGTGACTGGGAACAGAAACTGAATAGAGAATAAGACTGTGAGCAAAAGCTTTGAGGTCATATAAAAATACACCCCACTAAACAACTTTAATTGACGTTTTGGAATGAAATGCAAAACGAGGGATGAAGAGAATGCAATAGATTTTAACACGTCTTCATTTTAGTAACAAGTCACCTAAAATTAATTAAATTGCCTTGGATAAAAAGTATCTGCTACATGAATCTCAAATTGGCTGAAGAATAAAAAATGAAGGGTAAAAATAAACTCCCGCATTCTGAGTTATGGTAAGTGTGTGCTAGGGGTACAGAGGGATCTATATTGGGTCTGGTCTTAATTAATTTCATGTTAATAATCTGGAAGACAAGGAAAGCAACGTATTAATGGTGTTTTCAGGAATTCGCCACTTAACAGAGAGAAATCATATAAAGAGCCCTAAAGGAATTAGGAAAATGGACAGGAAATGGATTCAGTCTATAAAAATGAAAAGAAGTATAAGTAGGAGAAAATCATGCCAAATACAGACACTCTACTAAATAGAGAGTTTGCAAGAAATCTATATTAGGAGTCAGGATGAGATGTGTATTTTCAAAGCAGGATCATAGGAAAAGTGAATATAAATGTAGGCTACAGACCAAACATTCCCATATGCTAGCATGCAAAAAGCTTAAGATTGTCTTAAAAATAGAGCTGCCAAACAATTAAAATTTTTGATCGTGATTAGTAGAGCAATTAAACAAAATTAGTTGCAGTTGATCACAATTTTAATCACACTGCAACAAACTCAAAATTATGCACAGAAAAACTCACAATTCTGCAAAATTATGCAGGTACTTTGTATGGTTGTGGGATGGGGTGGGGTATGTATGTGTAATGGGGTATTTATGAAGGTGTTGGGGGGCTGTGTGTGTGTGTAGGGTTTGGAGCTGAGGGAGGAGGATTCCCACATACCCTGGCAGAATGCTTGTATTGTGGGTCAGGAGTGAGGGGCAGCAGCAGGGCTGGAGGGGCTGTGGCTTAGGAGCCAGGGACAGACAGACACACACATACCCACCCCCACCCCACATACCCACAGACACCACCCAGTAGGTAAATGTGTGGTGGGGGAAGGGGCGTGGGGGAGGGAAGGGATGGTGGGGGCAGATTGAGCCCCCCCCCCGCCCCCCTCGCCGTGAGGGAGAGAGTGGGGCAGAGGCAGGGATAGGGGCTGGGGTGAATGGGGTCCAGGGCTGAGGCAAGTCATAGTATGGAGCTGCAAGCGGTTTGTCCAGGGGTGCGGAGAGGCTCCCACCACTGTGCACACCCTGGAGGAGGCATGGGTACGTGCCCCCTGGATTTGTGTGTGGCAGAGGCAAGCTTCTACTGTGTGCTGGTTTCTGCACCCTGCTGCTGTTGCCCTGGGAGCTGTATGACAGCATACTGGTGGGCAGGCAGGGGACACAGTGTAGCCAGCATGCAGCTCCAAAGGCAGTGGGGCGCAGAGTCCCAGACTGCAGCAGCAGCCCACCCCTGCCCTGAGCACAAATCTGAGGGGCACATACTCCAGGGAGTGTAATGAGAGCCTCCCTGGATGAGCTGCCTCAGTTCCATCCCATAACCAGCACCAGCCCCAGGGTCCCATTCACTCCCTGCCCCAGCCACATTAAACAAAATTAAAGTGAAAAAAATTAACATGTTAATTGTCTTTATTAACCACAATTAATCAACAGGCCTACTTAAAAATTGAGATTATCTTTTAAGCCAGGGGTGTAAAACTCATCTGGCCTTGTGGGCCAGATAAGGGTCCTCAACCAGAAGAATGGTGTGTGGCTGGCCCCACAGGCCAGACTGGGTATGTGGACCAGTCCCTGCCCCAACCTTCTAGGGGAGTGAAGACCTCCTTTTGGATAAAGATAGACTAGAGAAAGTCCTGGAATACATATTGTCAGGGCAGTCTTTCAGTAAATAGGAGAAACAGCTGGCAAAATGATCTAAAATGTATTTTCTGTTCTTAACACTTTTCAAGTTTTGAAATTTTTGTAGAACAATTTGAAATTAGAGTGAGAAGAAGCATTAAACATCTAGGACAAAGAAGGAATGTTCTATGAGTCCATATGGAGTTTAATTTTATATTTGAAATTCTAGGTTGGAGGACTTGCCTCTGAAAATGTGAGATGGGCAGAAGCTGTGAAAGACTTCAAACAGCAACACAGTACACTGTGTGGAGACGTCTTGCTAATCACAGCATTTGTCTCTTACTTGGGCTACTTTACAAAGAAATACAGACAAGACCTGATGGATAGAATCTGGAGACCGTACTTGTGCCAGCTAAAAGTAAGTGTCTATTACTTAGTTGTGTCTATTAATTAGTTGTTACTAAGCATACATTCATCGATTCATAGATGTTTAGGTCAGAAGGGACCTCAGCAGATCATTTAGTCTGACCCCCAGCCCTGGGCAGGAAAGAGCGCTGGGGACAGATGACCCCAGCCAGGTAGAGGTTTAGCCTCCTCTTAAAGCTCCCCAAGGTAGGGGAGGGTACCACCTCCTTTGGAAGCCCACTCAAGATTCTGGCAAACCTTACTGTAAAGAAGTTCTTCCAGATGTCTAATCTAAATCTGCTCTCTGTCAGTTTGTGGCCATTGTTCCTAGTTACTCCAGGGGGTACCCTGGTAAACAGAGCATCTCCTATTCCTCGCAGCAACAAGATCACCTCTCAGACTTCTCTTGCAGAGACTAAAGAGATCCAGGGACCTCAATCTCTCCTTGTAGTGCTTTGCCTGCAGGCCTCTAACCATATGAGTGGCCCTCCTCTGAACCCTCTTGAGGTTGTCCACATCCCTCTTGAAGTGTGGAGCCCAAAATTGGACACAGAACTCCAACTGCGGCCTAACCAATGCCACATAGAGGAGAAGTATCACCTCCCTGGACCTGTTTGTGATGCACCCGCTAATACATGATAAAGTGTGGTTAGCTTTACTGATTGCTTCATCACATTGAATACTCACGTTCATCTTGGTGTCAACAATGATTCCAAGATGATTTTTTGGTGCTGTGTTGCTGAGAAGGCCCTCCCCTAGCCTGTAAACATGCTGGTGATTCCTTCTCTGTAGGTGCAGCATCTTGCTCTTATCCTCATTGAACTGCATCCTATTCTGTTCTGCCCACTTTTCCAACCTGTCCAGAACTGCCTGGATTCGTTCCCTACCCTCTAGTGTGTTAACTTTACTCCATAATTTGGTATCATCTTTGAATTTGGACAGAGTGCTTTCCACGCCTTCATCCAAGTCACTGATGAAGACATTGAACAGCACAGGTCCAAGGACCAATCCCTGTGGGACTTCATGGCTTTCCAGGTCGATACTGACCCATCCACCACCACTTTCTGGGTACAACCCCTAAGCCAATTTGTCATCCACCTGACTGTGTAATCATCTGCATCTGACAGTCAATGAATCTGGTAGGGGTCTACTATGTTTTTTGCCAGAAACTGGAGTGAGGAAGCAATATACAGTCGTACTGCCTCAGGAGCATCCAAGCAACCTTCCTTCATTCCCACCTTGCTCTGCTGCAATATAAACCATGCTCTTTCTCACTGGGGCTGATTCTCCCTCTTTAGCCTAATCACTTATTTATAAAAGTTACCTGATTTGCTAAGATTCTGAGATTCTGTGTCACCCTTAAATTTTACCAGCAACTAGGACTATTCTGGACTTAATGACTAGGCCCAGTCCTGTAGAATTTTGGCTAAGAGACCCTGGACATGTCTACATGAGACGCTTTACTCAAGACTAGTGAAAATTACTGTGCAGTAAGCATCGCCATCTACACATGCAGACGCTTGCTGCACAGTACATTGCTCTACTCATGAGTAAATTTGCTACCTGTAAATACAAGTAACAAATTTACTTGCAATTAGTTACTGGGTAGTAGTGTGGGTGTAGATGCTGACTAGAAGCAACAGCCCCACCACCAGCAGCCCAGTCCCAGAGCCCTGGGGTAGATGGCTCTTTGCCTACCCCAGCCCCTGGCACTTAAAAGCCTGTGGGGATGCTGGGGCCCTGGGCCACCTTCAACCAGCTTCTGGCCACTGCATTACACAGCGGAAGCCCCATGGCAACTGCAGCAACCAGCCTACACCCCAGCGCTGCTCCCTGGCACTGCCTCACCATGCAGATGCTAGGCCTATGCCATGCCCCCGTGCTGGGTGCTGCAGACACCTGCCAGGCCCACCAGGACCCTAGGACACCTGCAGCCAGTCTCTGACCACCAGGTTCTAATCCATCTGGCCCCAGGCCACCCACAGCATCCAGCCTGTAACTTGCCACTGGTGCCTGGAACACCCTCGCCATACACCTGCCTGTCCCACACCATGCCCCTGGTCTGGGTGTGCAGGAGCCTGCTGAGGTCCTCCAGAACCAGGACTGTCATGCAGAGGCCTAGCAAGCTGTTGAGGGATCCACACTGGCGTCCTTTCCAAGCCACACGCTGCCTCCCAGGGCCTCATCTGGTCCCAGGAGGAGACTTCAGACCTCTTTGCACCGTGGGGAAGAGGCTAAGGTCCTCGGAGCAGGCACTTCAACATACACGTGAACAAGAGCCTGTCAAGCCACATGTAGGATTGTGGGCATGACCAGTCAGCACACCAATGCCACATAAAAGTCAAGGCCTTGCAGGAACAGTTGGTAACCATCACTGACCACAACTGTTGGTCAGAGACTCCTGCAAATCCATGCCCTTTATGCACCAGTTGGATGACATCCTTATGCCCTGGGACCCTAGGCTGAGCAGTGTCATCTATTTGAACACAAGCAGCCTGCCTGAGCCTTCTCTGAAGCCTGGGACCCATGGTGATGTGTCACTGGTGAAGGGCCCCTCGGCCCTCCAGGAACTTGTTCCAATGCACTCCCTGCCTTTGGCCTCCTCCAACAGCTCTGGGAACCTGAGCCAGTGCCTGCCCCACCAGCTCAATGTGTTCAGCCCTGCCCAGGAGGCCAGGTTGGCCATGGCACTGCCGGCCGCCAGCAGCTCCAGCTTCTCCCTGGAGGGAGCTCCTGCCCAGGCACCTGCATGCTGCACCTCTTCACCCTAGGGCACTGCCAGGAGTCATGTCTTTGCCATGAGCAGGGACCAACTTGGGCTGCCAGGTACGCCTGCCACGCCCACCTAGTGAGCCCTGCACTGAAGGGAAGGCCCTCCCTGCCCCGGCCCTGCCCTCCCTCTCCACCTGCCGCCACCTAGCCTGCCCATACACCCCCTGACTCCTGGAGCCCCCCTTATAGCACACAGGGAGGTGGGAGACAGTGCAAAACTTTATTGAGCAGCCTGTGCCCCCACACCAGTGGGCATGGGCCTCTTACATGCCGAGGAATGTGTTGATGCTGGCGGTAATGTCTTCCTTGGCTGCAGGGGGCAAGGACTTGTAGCGCAGCCCCAGGTAGCCCTCCAGGTGGCAGTGGAGGTTGTGGGGCAGGGTGGGCTTGCCCTCTGCACCATCAAAACTCAGGGTCCCATGCCTTGTTTACAGGTATGCCTGGGGCACCATGGCAATCAGCAGCAGCAGCATGTTGTGGGTTGGGCACCCCTAAGCCTGTGCAAACAGCTCCTCACACCATGCCTGGGACACTTGTAGCTGGGGCATGCTTGGGGCGTAGAGCTGGCATAGGGCGGGGTTGGCCCCAGGGCACCTCCCCAGAGACACCCCATGGGGAGAGGGTGGGGGCACCAGCAGCTCTGCATCCCAGTTGGCTGGGAGCCCCTTGAGCCCTCTGCCTGGGTGCCATGGGCTGGGTGGCAACACAGGAGACAGGCTGGCCTGCAGGAGGAAAAGGGAAGGAATGGCTCTGGGGCCATGGCAGCCCTAACCACAACCCTAACCCTGGCTCCTGCTGGTGAGAAAGTGGCTTGCCCAGGGCCTCAGCAGGGCGGCCCACTACTGCTGCTGCCACTTCCACAGCAGCTGGCACTCCTAGTGCCAAGCCCTCCACTTGCTGTGCCTCCTCCACCCAGGCCTCGTGAAAGAGTTCCACCAGGCCTCATAGATGTTATGCAGCACACAGGCTGTGATGATGATTTGAGAGATGTTGGCCATGGTGACAGGTGGTGAGGGTGCACCAGCATCTCTTCAGCTGACCAAGTCCTACTCCACCCGGGAATAGGTCCAGCTCAGCCACCAGTTGAAGTGTGCCTGGTGGTGGTCCAGCTGGCCAATGTAGGACCACATGAGCTAGAGGAGGAGCAGATAGGTGGGCTCCCCTATGAAGAGGGGCAGGACCACCACTGCACCCACCTGGAGGTCCAGCACTCCAGAGTGAAGCACCCGCTCTCCACCAGGGCTGGCAGGGCAGAGCTGCGGAACATGTGGGCATCCTGGGGACTGCCCACCCAGTCAATGCTCAAGTTCATGAAGGCACCACGGTGGTCAACAACGGCTTGGAGAATGATGGAGTGGAAGCCCTGCCAGCTGTAGTAGGGGTGGTACTCTGCAGGGGGGACAGTTGACAAGGATATGGGTCTTGTCCAGGGCCTCAGAGCAAGTACCCAAGGACAGATCATGGCAGCAGAAGCAGGTCGGGAAAGACCTACCATGCCCTACTCTACTCTCCCAAGCCCTACATGTCCCTCACCCACTGTGCCAGCTACTGTAGGTGGTAGGCCATCTGCTGGGTGCCTGTGTCTCGCTGTATGAGTTTGGCTGCAGCCCTGGCAGCTTGGACAAAAAGCTTAGGGTCTGCACACCACTGAATGATATGCCCCGCTATATTCTTCTGTCCTTTAGTCTGGTTCAGAAAGACCAGGAGACCTCCGTAGTTGGGGGCGAGCCGGGGCCTGCCAGAATAGGCTGGACATCCCCAACAAAGAGTGGTGGGGCTGCACCTCAGGTGAGAGCTTGCCTGAGAGTGCAGCATCCATGCCCTCGATGTTTAGCAACTGCATCCTGTTCTCATCATCCGGGCCAAGGACTGGTTCTAGAAGAGCAATCCCAGCCTTCTTGTGGGGAGAGATGTCATCCTGCTCCCGAGGTCGCTTATAACGCTCGGAAAGCTGGACCTCCAACTCATCATCATCCCCATCTGGTCCAGTGGGCTGAGGCATGACTGAGGGGTCAGTAGACTCTTCTGCCACCCCCTAGGTCAGGCCCCCACAAGGGAGGTATTCAATATCATCTTCACTGCCACCTGACTCCAGGAGCTGGAAGCCGAACGAGGTGTCAGTGGATCTGCCACTGCTTCCCACGCCGCCAAGTCATCCCCAACTGTAGCCACGTGCAGTTGGAGCGGGGTCAGGCTCTCCAGCAGAAGTCCTCCCAGCACTAACCAAGGAGGGCCCTGGTCAGGGTGAAGTGTCCTGAGAAGCCCCTTTTGTTTTCCTCTCTCTGTTTTTCTTCTGTGGAGAAGCAGTGGGTGACCTCCCCTTCACAGGGGATGGATCAGGATACTCCTGGCCCGCCTCCCCGAGGCCAGTTGTCTCAGATAGGGCAGCGGTGGAGGGTGGCTGGGGGGAGGCCTGAGCTCTGTCGTCTGGCAGGGCCCTGGTGGTATAGTCACCGGCTGCCTCGGCTGGAGCAGTCGGGGTGGGTGGGGGCCAGGTGGAAATCTCATCCCCTTAACTTGGTGGAGCTCCTGCACTGCAGGGAGGTCGGCACTGTGGCTGTAATGGGCGAGGTAGTGGGCTGGGTGGAGGTTCCAACCCCTCCATCCGATGGTGCTCTCGCACCAGAGGCCCCAGTTTCCTCGAATGGAACAGGGGTGAAAGGAGGTTGGGAGGAGGTCCCGGCTCCTGCACTAGGCGGGACCTGCATCCCAGAAGTGGATTTGTCATCCTTGGTGCAGCCGCAGTTGCTGGTGTCTTGGCTGCTCTTCTCATTGGGCACTGGGTAGTGAAGTGGGAGGAGTTACCACGCTGGAAACACATAGTCTCCCCCAGGAAAAGATAAATCACGAACCTCCTTCCATCTAGTCTGAAGCTCAAGGAGTGGGGTAGGGACCGGGGGCCCCCCTTGAGAAGCATGAAGACCTGCCTCTGAAAGGACAGGACATGCTTTAGCTTTGGATCTTTGCTTCTGATAGTCAACCAGCGAAAAGGCCTCGTAGGAATCCCGTAGGTTTCAAGACCCTTGGCCAGTTCCCTGTCAGACAGGTGTAGGGGTACATTGGAAACCACCACCCTTGCCACCTGGGTGTCTAGGGGCGCGACAAGGTAGTGTATGCCCACGATGTCCAGGCCTCCCAAGTAAACCCTGTCGACCAGGGTGGGAGTACCCGGGTAGATCACCGGGACCATGTTAACACGAGCTGCATAACATATGCTACACCATCCCAGGGCACCTGGGCACCTGCACAAACCTCGACCCTGACATGGGGTGGGGTATGGACCCTCAAGCCATGGTTAAGGCGGAAGTCCTGAGAGGCACCCCCATACCAGCCCCCATGTGTAGAAGCTGACATTCCTGCTAAAACAGGGTTAATCCCAAAAGCTAAAGCTAGCTAAAAATAAGAAAAATAAAAAGGAAGGGGGAGATCCGAAGGGAAGGAGAGGGGGAGGGAGAAGGAAAGGGTACAGCTGCAGGGAGAGGGAGGGGAAACAAAAAACAACCTGAGGGAGGGAGAAGGGAGGGGCAGAGAGTTACTGCAAGAGAGAGGGTTGAGAAAAGGGGGGAAAAGACAAGAAAAAGTAATGAAAAGTGTGGGGCTGTGGTGGGAAAAGGGTTAGGTTCCATTTTGGTGGAAAGGTTCCATTTTGGAAGGAAGGAAGGAAGCAGCCTGTCCATTAAGATAACTGGTAAAGATCACTTACCAGCTATCACATCCATGTTTCCTGTATGTAGACACTGAATCCAGAAATGGCCTTATCTGCCAGAAAAGTGTTTCTACGATCTGAAATGCAAATGCAAACAACAGACCTATGAGGATAATGGTTATGTTCTTCAAAACTACCATGTCAAGAGTTTGTACATGGTATAAAGTATACATCTGAACCTGTTCTATTTAGTTGTGACAGCTCAGTCCACTTATCTTGCTGCAGGCAATATTCTTTTTTCTCCTTTTATAATTTCTTTCTAGTCATCACAGGAATGAGTGAATTCAAAATCAAACCTATTCTGTAAACTGTTGACCATCAAATAAATTATATGGCTGGGTTGTTAAGTAAGCCTCATTATTAGAATCAGTTCTTCTGTTTCATCCTTAGCATATATGACAACTGATGCTTGCAACCTTGCATGACACTCATGGGAACATTTTCTCTTTTTGCTTTCAGGTCCCAATCCCTGTTACTCCATCATTAGACCCTCTGACAATGCTGACAGATGATGCTGATATAGCAGCTTGGCAGAATGAGGGCCTGCCAGCTGATCGCATGTCCACAGAAAATGCCACAATCCTTACAAACTGTGAACGATGGCCCCTCATGGTTGACCCCCAGCTCCAGGGTATCAAATGGATTAAAACAAAATATGGTGAAGATCTGAGAGTGATCAGAATTGGGCAGAAGGGGTAAATATGAGCCATGATACCAAATAACACACACCATTGTTAGCTGCCTGTCAAATATGATGAACAGCATGGGCAGAATCCTGCTTCACTTTGTCTGCCCATATGCTGGTTACCCCTTAATATAACTGCCATTTTTGGCACTTATACACAGTTTTCAGTCCTATTCCTGAGCTGTATGCAGCCTGGACAGAAAAGTGCACTACTGTGCATGCAAGTACTTAAGTATAAGTCCTGAAAAAAGCAGTAGGAGGAGGCTATTTTAACCACTGTACCTTACATTTAGTATTAATTGAAGCAGACAAGAAGAAAAGCTTCTACCCCCTGGGGAGTAAAAGATTGGGTGTGAACCTGGGGCCTAGTCTCTTATAGGGTAGAAAACATCTCACTGAACCATATATGCTTAGATCCAGGGGGTTTTTTTCCTCTCCTGGACACACACATCTCACTTTCTTGGCAGCCCAGGGGAGCAGCTTAAAAAAAAAAAGCTGGTGAGGGGCCTGGATAATTCCTAATTTATGGCCTATGCTCAAGGAATCAGAGAACTGCATGGTCAGACCCTATAGGGGTGAGGAGGGTAGGATAGAACCTCAATCTCCCACTTTGTGGGCAAGTGCTTTGACCACTAGTCTATTGGGGGGAAAGAGCCAAAGCTCTCTAACACTTGCCAGCTTTGGGGAATTTGCCTAGTTATAATTCCAAAGACAGGAGAAGAGAAATGTTGGCTGTCTGGATACATATTTTCTGTACATGGGTTATGCCTTAGGCTCAGGTTGTACTAGTGTATGCTTGGCTTTATGCCCCACATGGTTCAGTTCCATAGTGCGTTGGAAAGAAAACAGAACTCGCCTATAAAGTCAGAGTGGAAACAACATTGCCTTTCATTGCCTGTGCCTTCACACCACATTTTATGGAGGCACAGAGGCCAAGCAAACAAACACAAGGGCTCCTTCTCATTCCACAAATAGTGATGGTGACAATTGTGGTATCAATTTGTGCCACTATTTAGTGGCAATCACCTGTTTATTTTAATCTGTCAGACTTGCCCCAACTTTTCCTACTTACCTAGGCACCTCCCAGAAATCTTGAGGGCACAATCCCAGTAAGTAGAGAGAGCCAGGCAGGTGGTCCTGGGGGTTGAGGGGCCTGTTCCTATGCAGGAATCCCCAGGGTGTGCAAGACTGGGCCCTGCAAGCCCTAGAAAAGCACATTACCCATTGTCCCACCTGGTGATGCTGCAGGTGATATGTGGTATTGCCCAATGTCATTTGGCACATCTATTTCTACCTCAGAGAAAGGCTGAAAGCCTAAACAGAGATTTAGAATAGAGCCACATGTGATAGGATATTAAAAATGCCTATCCCTTCCCACAGTCATTTAATAAAGTTTTGAAAGAAAATTCAGTGTTACAGACAAGATGTAGAATAGGGACAAGGTATATATAGAAAGAAGTCTTAATTTTTCTGTTTTGTCTGCTCATTGGCTGTAGAAGCCATTTTTCATATGGGAAGAACTGAACACTGAGCACTGAAACTTACTAGTGTCAGAGAACCAAGATGATTGGCTAGTTGGAATTCTAGTCACAGAACCTGGACAATCAGGTAAGGGTTTGAAAGTGATGCTAAAAAAAAAAAGAAACCTTTGAGATGAGATCAGCAAATTCTGATCTCAGCTCTTTTTCACTGAAATGGGTTGAAAAATCATTTTGGCAAAAAAATTCCCATTGGAAAATGGCAAGTTATTAAAACTGAAACAATAGAAATTTACCAGTTTTGATGAGACTTAATTTTGGAAAGGTTTTTCAATTCCAGGATGAAATACCTTGTCAATGCATAAAGGAGATTTCATTTTTTCCCCAGACTAGCCTATAACCCAATAGTTAGGACATTTCTCTGGAATGTGGGAAATTTAGGTTCAAATCACTACTCTTGATGAGACCCTGTGAATGTTTGTTCTCTGTGTGTGTATGTCTGTCTGTCTGTCTGTCTATCTATCTATGTATCTATCTATCTATCTATTAAGATGGCCGCCGACAGGTGAAGCCCTTCTGAGCTCCTGCAGCTCGAGTGCCTTTTGTGTGTTCCCTGCACTCCGTGCCCCACTTTTCCTGTCCCCACCCCTCCAAAAAAAACCTTGTCTCTACCCACCCTGTCCCTGGGGACCCCCTTCCCTTCTGAGCTCCTGCAGCTCGAGTGCCTTTTGTGTGTTCCCTGCACTCCGTGCCCCACTTTTCCTGTCCCCACCCCTCCAAAAAAAACCTTGTCTCTACCCACCCTGTCCCTGGGGACCCCCTTCTCCCCACTTTCTGAGCGTTTTTCCCCTGGGCTCTGGCAGCTTCATTTGCCTCTGCCCCTCCCCCACCCCCGCCTGAGTTCTCCCTTTGATTCATGCTGCCTCCCTCCCATGGCATGCGGGTGCACGCCCCTCTCCACGTCACAGTGGAGGACTGCGCCAGAGCTCTGGTGAACCTGCTGGGACGCCGGAGCGTCCGGTATGCCTCCCGGGTCAATTCGGTGCCCATTATCTATTTGAGCTCTTCCAACCTGGTGAGGGAGGTGTGCGCGGCGGGGCTGGAAGTCTTGGGGGTCCACCACTTGGTCACGCCCCTGGAGACTCTGGCAGTGCGGGTGGTGGCCTCCAATGTGCCCCCGCACCTGTCAGACTGGGACCTCACCAACGCGGTCGAGCGCTACGGTGTCCTCACCAGCCCCTGGCGCAGGCTGACCATAGGGAGTAGGAACCCCAAGCTGAGGCAGATCCTGTCCTTCCGGAGGCAGGCGTTCATGCTCCTCAAGGGGGACACTCAGAAACTGCCTCCCTCCTTGACTTTTGCCTCGCAAGGGAGGTCCTACATGGTGTATTTCTCCCTGGGTGGGAATTCCTACTGCCGCTGCGGCGGCAGCTCCCACCTAACTGCCCAGTGCCCGTTTGGGCAGTCAGCCGCGGCACAAGTACCCATATGCCTTCTGTTGGCAGCAGGTATTTCACAAGGAAGTTTTTGAAAACCGTTTTGGTCTGCTTTGCAATGCAGATTTAATGGGTTTAGATCTACAAACCAGTGAAGGAAATTTGGGGGGGGGGGTTGTTGTTTTTTATGATTTAGTATAGCATGTATTCTTTGAGTGAGGTTTTTATCTCCATGCTGACCTTGATATAATCTAGTCTGGAAACTGATTGTGCAATTATAATAAAAGAGCATTTTCACATTACATTACTTTATGGTTTTCTTGCTTTCCAGGGCAGAAGCAGACATTCTCTGTTTTAGGGAATTCTGATTTTCTCTTTTTCCCTTTCTTTTCTTTTCTTTTCTTCTTTCTGCAACCAGGTAGGCTCGGTGGTGGACTGAGATTCCAAGCTCATGCCGTTCCCTGGCCCCTCACTAGGCTGTTTTTTGCTTTCTTTTTGTGTGGGAAGTTGAAGGTCTTGTCACGTGTATGATTGGATAGAGCAGGGTACGAACTGTTTATATATAGTTATGACCGTGTGGCCGGCACGCCAACCGCATAACTAGCATGTATGACACAACGTGGAATGTAGTGAAGGTGTCTATCACGATGGGGTGTGATAAATGCAATGACATGGTGTTCTTGTTTTGAAAGTAATTTGTTTGTTTTTTGTTTTGTAAGCAGCCAACCTTTTTGTATCCCTGTTTTGTCTTGCCACCCCACCGCCCGCTCCCCTGCCTGCCGGGGCCGATGAGGAGGAGGAGATGGAGTGCCTGCCCTCTGAGCTCCGCAAGCGGCCCCGGGAGCGGGACGACATCTGCCCCCAAAGCGGATGGGGATTGATCTCCCCGAGACAGTCCTCGACCCAGATAGAGAGGGGGGCCTGCTAGGGAGCCTGGCCATTGAGGGCACTTTCATTGGTCTCACTGGGAAGTCCCCTCCCACGGTACAGCCCCGCCGGTTCTCGGTCGGCAGTATCCACCTCCTGCTGGAGAAACCCCGCTGGGTGGCCCCCAGCTATGGAGGTCTTCTCAACCTCTTGGACCAGACCAAGGACCAGAGGAACGTGGCTAAGAGTATCCAGCAATGGTGCCCGGACCCCGCGCAGTTTGTCCGCGCCGCTAGTGACGCGGCGAGGCTTATGCGCCGGGACCCAGGCACGCGTCAGCATGCCTTCTGGCTTGACAAGCTGGTGACCCGGGTGAGGGAGGTGTGGGGCCGAGGCGGGCCCGCGGAATAGGGCAGGGCAACGCTAGGCCTTTCCCCTGTCTCCGCGGTTTTTCTGCCCGGCATCTGTCACCTTCTCTTCCACTGGTACCCTGCCTACCCTTCCTCCTTCTGTTCATGGCGGTTGTTTCAATTTCTTC